GCGTCGGGAGCGGCGGCGGAGATGGCGGCGGTGGAGGGAGGAAGAGGCCGCTGACTGAGAAGTCAACGAAGGTGTCAACGAACGAGGATAGGAGATTGGGAATGTGTTTGCAGAACGTGGTTGAGGTCTCTTCTTTCCCTTCCATCGCGATTCGATTCAATGCTGTTCTTTCGATTTCTCGTTTCGGAAACACAGAATTGCTTGCGTAGCGGTTTTGAATTTTTGGGAATCAGTGGTTGCAAGTTAGGAAAGAAATTGAAGTTGTTTTCTTGTAAGGTGTGGAATATTGTTCGGTTTTCGGTCTTCCCTCCTGGCTTTTTCGAAGGATGCAATGAATCAAATTTATGGCTTTCTTTGTTGAACGTAAAATATTATATAAATATTCAACAAAAACTATTATCACACATCTATAACTTTTTACTAAAATATTATTAAAAAAATGTAGAAAAAAAAAATGATCCCCTCCCTTTTTATTTACTAAACTAGACTTATTTTCTATAATAAGTTAGAATTTGATTTTTGAAAAATCAAATTCTTCTTCCTTTCATATGTGATCGACACTGTTTATCTTGTTAGAATTCAGTTTTCAGAGAGTTGAATTTCAAGTAAAGATATATATATACAAGGAGAGATCTTTTTATTACAGGAGTAAGTTTACCTAAACTTATTCTGTTCAATAACTCATGTTTTACATCAAATTTCAACAATTCAACCATTCAATTTAAAGTTTTTAATGCATAGATCAAATCTGCAAATTTTTAGAAAATTTTAAAATTATTTAATACTTCATTTCATTAATCTTTGATCAAACCTCGAAATTCCTTAAATTTATAGTAGAAATAGAAGTCCTCGCCGGAGGGAATGCATGGTGAGGAAGAGGAAAGCTTCGCAAGGTGGTGATCGAATTTCATGGTATCGTTGCTTGTGAAGATGGAGGAATATTTGTTGAAAGGGACTTTAGTTTTAGGGTTAGGTTTTGTGGGTTTTTGCCATTGCCATTGGGAAATGGGAAAGGAAAACGCTCTCGTGTGCTACTCAACGTTTTGGTTTTGGAAAAGAAAATAAAAAAATTATATATATATAATATATATATATATCCTCAAAACTCGGCTCCGAGAATTGAATTTCGATAAAGATGAACAGTGTCGCCTATGGAGGAGAGCAAATAGCTTCTTTGGGACCGAATTTTAACATGCTACATAGATTTGGTCTACTTTGGTAAATAAAAAGGAAGGGGTCCATTTTTGTATTTAATTTTTTTAATAATATTTTAGTAAAAAATTTTGCACATCCATTCTCTATTTTCTATCATATTTCTATTCAATAATATACTAATGGGATTGAAACATAAAATGTTTAATTATTAGTCATTTCTATTAAATAAAATATAGAGATATAATGATATGTAATCATTTTTTGTTTTCACTTTTTAATCGACCATTATATCTCTTAAATATTAAAAAATAAATAACTTCCATCCTTTTTGAATACTCACATCCATCTAATATTCCATCTCTAATTGTTAGAGGCATGAAATAACTTACCCCTCTAGATATATAAAGGCAAAAGTATGATTTGTTGTATACATTTTTTAGATGATTTTACCTTTAAAATTTTAAATAATAAAAAATAATATTAAAAAATAATTATTTTTACAAACATAAGACTTAAATTTGAGATTTTAAGATTTAAAGATGAGGTATAATATTGGTTGATTTAACAAATATAAATAATTTTTAAATATTTATTAAATAAAATATAAATATATGAAGTGTCTTGACTTTACTAAAATATATAAAAGCATAACTTAGTTTAATATGCACATTTTTTTAGACAATTTTATTCCAAAATTTGTAAACAATAAAAAAATTTAAAAGTTAATTATTTTTACAAACAATCAATCTTAAGATTTGAAAATAAAGCACCACATTTATTAATTTAACAAAAATTTATAATTTTTAAACATCTTTATTAAATAAAATATAAAGACACGAAATATCTTAACTTTAATAATATTTATTAGAGGTTTAGGTACTTTGTATATTTAATAATTACACAAATAATTATATTTTGTATATATATTTTTCTAATTTTATTATTTATTTATAAGTAATTATTATAAAGAAAAGTTAACAAAAAATAAAGATAAAAACAATTATTTAAAAATATATTTTTTATTAATAGTTATAAATTATTAATAGAGAAGAGATACTAGGTGTCTCTAATATTAAAAAAAAAAAAAGAAGTGATTATTGATTAGTTAAATATTTCGGAAAAGTAGAAAAAAGGAAAGAAAAAATAAATTAAATAAAAAATTGTGTAAAGCAAATCAGTTTACCATCGCCTTGTATATTATTGATTAATACTCAGAGAATCCACTCAACCGATCCTCACTTTTACATGTCAAAGCAGGTCTTCCTCTTTCTTTCTTTCATTATTTGTTCTATTCCCTTTTAGCAGAGTCCACAATTCTCCTCACTTTTGTCATCCTTCAAGGTATGCAATTTCATCATTTAACAAATTTTGGGGGATATTCGGTTTCAACTTTGTCCGTTTGATTATGGGTTGGGGTAAAATTTTGATTTTTCTGCCTTCTACTCCAAGATCAGTTTCGACTACAGAAATGGGGGAAAAGACGGAATATCGGTTGATTCTCTTCTTGCACATGATGTTGTTCAGAATTTTGTTTTCTTAGTTAATTTTTTTAGTTAAAAATTCGATGTGCTGCTTTAATCGTGGTTGGTGCTTGTATTGCTCCCAAACTATGCTGAACAAGCAATAGCCTTAAATATGAACTTTAGTTAATTTTAAGAAGAAAAATAAGAAAAAGAGATAAGGTACTGCCGATGTTTTTTCGTGGATATATAGCTAACAAGAGTTCACATCTTGATCATTATGGTTAATTGTGTTTTTTCTGGGTTGCTTTGTAGTGTCAAAACACAGATTTATTAATTTATCTATTATCTTTTTTTTTTTTTTTTTTTTTTTTTTTTTTTTTTGTTTTTTGGTT